CCGGTCGACGAGAGTTCTTCACCGAGCTTGACTCTAGCATCCGAGGCTCCACCAAGTTTGGGGATGCCTCCGATGTGGAGATCAAGGGCGTCGGCTCCGTCATCTTCACCACCGTGTCTGGTGAGCACAGGCTGCTCATCGGAGTCTACTACATCCCCGCGTTGAGGAACTCTATCATCAGCTTGGGACAGCTAGATGAGAACGATTCGCGCGTGGTGGTTGAGGATGGAGTCATGAGGATTTGGGATCGCCGTCGTCACCTTCTTATCAAGGTAACCAGAAGCGCAAATCGACTCTACGTCCTTAACGTGCAGGTGGCACAACCCCTCTATCTCGCTGCTCGTCGGGACGACGAGGCGTGGTAGTGGCACGAGCGCTTCGAGCACCTTCACTTCGAGGCCCTGAAGCGGCTTAGTTCCACGGAGATGGTGCGAGGCCTACCATGCCTCGACCATGTGGAGCAGCTCTGCAACGTCTGCATGTTGACAAAGCAGAGGCGACTCCCCTTTCCCCAGCGGGCGAGCTTTCAAGCCAAGAAAAGGCTTGAGCTTGTGCACGGGGACTTGTGTGGCCCGGTGACACCGGCCACACCGGGAGGATGATGCTACTTCCTGCTGCTCATTGATGACCTCTCCCGCTACATGTGGGTGATGGTCCTCGGTAGCAAGGGAGAGGCTGCGGATGCCATCAGGCGCGCGTAGGCAGAGTGCGGCCGCAAGCTGTGCGTGCTGCGCGCTGACAATGGCGGCGAATTCATGGCGGCTAAATTCGCATCGTACTGCGCTGATAAGGGCATTCAGTGCCACTACTCCGTGCCGTATAGCCCACAGCAAAACGGCGTCGTCGAGCGGCGCAACCAGACGGTTGTGGGGATGGCTCGGGCCCTTCTCAAGCAGAGGGGGATGCCGGCTGTCTTCTAGGGAGAGGCGATGGTGTCGGCCGTCTACATCCTCAACCGCTCGCCTACCAAGGCGCTCGATGGCAGGACGCCGTACGAGGCTTGGCATGGGCGCAAGCCGGCGGTCTCTCACTTGCGGGTCTTCGGCTGCCTCGCGTTCGCCAAGGAGCTTGGCCACATTAGCAAGCTCGATGACAGAAGCACTCCGGGAGTGTTCATTGGCTACGTGGAGGGCTCGAAGGCCTACCGCATCCTTGACCCGAAGACACAGTGTGTGCGCACGGCGCGCGACGTTGTGTTCAACGAAGGGCAAGGATGGGCGTGGGACAAGGCGGTGGACGACGGCTCGGCTCCGACGTATGATGACTTCACTGTCAAGTACGTCCACCTCAAGGGAGCTAGGGGAGTAGGCAGCTCTTCTTCGATGAGCGCATCTACCCCAGTCCCTGAGCCTCCACCGACCCCGGTGCCTGCTACTATGACAGCACCACGCTCTCCAACCAGGACCTCGGCTGCGATGAGTTCTTCACCGGCTCCACCACAGCCGGCAACGCCATGCACTCCAGCACCGACAGGCACCTCTCCGGGCACGTCTACTCCAACACCAGCTCGTGTCGAGCACAACCCGGTTGAGCTCGCTACTCCGCTCTCTCACGACGAGGAGCGCAGCGACGCGTACCACGACGGCAAGCCATTGCAGTACCGTACGATGGAGAACCTTCTCGGCGACCAGCCGGTGCCGGGACCGGTGCCTCATGACCTAGAGGCGTAGTTGCACCTTGCGTGTGACGACGGCGAGCCTTGGTCGTTTGTAGAGGCCGAGAAACACGAGGCATGACGCGCCGCGATGCAGTTGGAGATGGATGCGGTTGAGAAGAACCGCACCTGGGAGCTTGCTGACCTTCCTCATGGTCACCGCGCGATCACCCTTAAGTGGGTGTACAAGCTGAAGAGGAATGAAGCCGGCGCCATCGTCAAGCACAAGGCTCGCTTGGTGGCACGAGGTTTCATGCAGCAGGAGGGGGTCGACTTTGACGACGCCTTTGCTCCTGTGGCACGGATGGAGTCCGTGCGACTCCTCCTTGCGCTAGCTGCCCAGGAGGGCTGGCGTGTTCATCACTTGGACATCAAGTCGGCGTTCCTTAACGGCGACTTGAAGGAGGTCTACGTGCACCAACCGCCGGGATTTGCGATCCCCGGCAAGGAAGGCAAGGTGCTCCGCCTACACAAGGCCCTCTATGGCTTGCGGCAGGCACCGAGGGCGTGGAATGCCAAGTTGGATTCCACGCTAAAGGGGATGGGCTTCGAGCAAAGCCCGCACGAGGCGGCCATCTACCGACAGAGCAGTGGAGGAAATGCTCTGCTGGTGGGTGTCTACGTCGACGACTTGGTGATCACCGGCGCCAAGGATGCGGAGGTGGCGGCATTCAAGGAAGAGATGAAGGCCACCTTCTAGATGAGTGACCTAGGGCCTCTCTCCTTCTACCTAGGAATCGAGGTGCACTAGGATGACTCCGGGATCACGCTTCGACAGACTACCTACGCCAAGCGCGTTGTTGAGCTAGCTAGGCTCACCGACTGCAACCCAGCTCTCACCCCGATGGAGGAGAGGCTAAAGCTGAGCCACGACAGCACAACGGAGGAGGTGGACGCTACGCATTACCGGCATCTTGTGGGGAGCCTTCGCTACCTCGCCCACACATGGCCGGACTTGGCATTCTCCGTCGGCTACGTTAGTCGGTTCATGCAGCGACCGATGATGGAGCACCAGCAGGCTATGAAGAGGATCATCCGCTATGTTGCGGGGACTCTCGACCACAACCTCTACTACCCTAGGTGCCCTAGGGTGGCACACTTCGTCGGGTACAGCAATAGCGACCACGCCGGTGACATCGACACTAGCAAGAGCACGAGCGGGATCCTCTTCTTCCTCGGCAAATGCCTCATTAGCTGGCAGTCGGTCAAGCAGCAGGTGGTGGCCCTGTCCAGCTGCGAGGCCGAGTACATAGCGGCCTCCACCGCTTCGACTCAGGTGCTCTGGCTCGCTCGACTGCTTGGTGATCTCCTCAGCAGAGACACTAAAGCGGTGGAGCTCATGATGGACAGCGAGTCCGCTCTGGCCCTGGCAAAGAACCCCATTTTCCATGAACGGAGTAAGCACATCCGGGTGAGGTACCACTTCATCCGAGGCTGTTTTGAGGAAGGGAGCATCAAGACGAGCTACATCAACACCAAGGACCAGCTTGCGAACCTGCTTACCAAGCCTCTTGGGAGGATCAAGTTCCTTGAGCTCTGCTCCAGGATCGGGATGGTTCAACTTTCCCACAAGATGACACACAAGACTTAGGGGGAGAATGATAGATAAGTCTCTGTGTATATCTTTGTGGGGCTGCAGCAGCATAGTGGTCTTGCTGCCCATCAAGGACAGCATCTTTGACTGGCTAGGACATCATCTTAGCATCTAGGACAGCATCTAGCTAGGACAGCATCTTAGCATCTAGGACAGCATCTTAGACTAGCATCTTGGCATATGCTTGGCTGGCTAGCAGCCTATAAATATGTATCCCCAACCCCTCAGGTTGGCATGACATTGAGAAATAAACCAGAAAATTGCCTCAACTCCTAGTGTCATCCTCTCTCGATGAGAGTAAGAATTCTACTACTACCAAGAGTAAGAATTCAGCGACTAACAGGTCTAGTGTCAAATCTACAAACAACCAATGTTTCGTGTCCCATTTTTGCAAATCTCAAAATTGATTCAATTTTTTTACGTGGAAGTGGGAATAGCCAAGTTTGAAATCCTTCCTCCGCCACTGGGGAAGGCTTGAGCGGATGGGGCGACCGACATCGCCGCTGAAGAAGCCCGACATCATGGCTCCCATGGCCATGCCGCCCTCCCCCACGACTTCGCTCCCTGGCCCCCTCCCTCGATCACACAAGCTCCAGGCAGTAAGGCCCCCCTCCCCCACGGCTCCGCTCCCCGGCCCCATCCCCAGCACGCACGAGCGCTAGGCGGTAGGGGCGAGGAGTCACCGCTGCCTCCCTGCGCTCCCAGCCACCGGCCTCCCGTGCGCCTGGCTGCTGCCGATCTTCCCCACCCCTCACTGCCGAGTGCCGACCTTCCCTTGTCGAAGAGGAGCTGCCGCCGTCGCATGGTCGAAGCTGCATGAGGAGGCGCCGCCTCCCAGTGTCGCCCGTCATCGGCCTTCCTAGCGTCTCCTACAGCCTGGCCTTCCGCTATAGTTGAATGGATTTGTGTGATTAATGGATTTGGGGATGCAATATATGATTTTTTTATGCCTTAATACTTCAAGTAGAAGCTGTAGTATGATGCAATATATGATTTGGGGAAATATGGAAAGTTGTATTTTGTTCAAGGCTGTAAAAGCAAACAAAGCATATTTTTCTTATGCTTGTAAATGCTTTATTTTGCCATGTACTAATTCAAGAAAATCTCATCAGATTCCAAGGGCACTTTGGTCTATTCCACCATATATTCTCCTCTTTTCAAAATCTGAATCCAGACAACCAGCCAAAAGGTTTCAGCAAATGATTCTGTTTCTCAGAGAAACGTTTCTCCAAAGAATCTAAATCTGAAACTTTTCTGTGAGATTCCGGTGCCCTACCAAACGGACCCTAAATATGTGTTTTTTCCAGAAGCAGTTGTCTTCGCGCAATATAATTTTCGCAGCAACTTAGATCATGCTTTTGGATTTTGGCTTTCTACTTTTCTAAATGGGTGAAAATATAGAGATGGTTTAGAGTTGTTTGTTGTTTCAACCAAACATTTTACAATTTTTTTCATAACACATAACTCACAACAACTTTTTTTTATAACACACAACAGTCTTTTCACAGCTTATAACTAAACCAAACATAAAGCTAACCTCTCTTCCTTATATTACAGAGATGCACTTCTTTTCTCAAATGAAAGATGGTTCCATTTGGCTTGTTTACCTTGCCTTCGGCACGATGGGAAATTTTCCATCATGCCTGGATTTGCTTAGACAGGAACTTGCCTCTCCCGCAACCATATGAAAATTTCCTTTGGTAGATGTTTTTTTTTTCTTAAAAAACGTACATGTGGTTAAAAATTTTCCAGCGCCATGATTCTGTCAAAAACTCAAAATGGAGGATTCCTGATTCCAAACGCCATGAACAATGTGTTGGAATGATCTCAGGCTCGGTCAACGGACCAAGTCTTAAGGGGCTTAACAGCCACACAATGGCCCTGATCGAGGGCACCTCTAATGGAAGAAAACGGCCTGGTCCCAAGACCGACCCGCACTATAAGATGAAAGAGATCACATTAAGATGTGACTGACCACCTAATCCACCTACCGATCAAGGTCAGTGCGGGCTTGGCTTGAAGACCAGTGACCTACCGCCGGCCATCTCTGTGCCGGCGTCCTCACCATCGACGACCACTACAGGAGGAGTACCATAGGTCTTCGCAAGGATGCAGAAGGTCTCTCTAATTGGGTAAGTCTAATTATGTATTAATTAAGGTTTAGGTGTTCTTGTAATTAGGCTAATTCAGATCCTGCATAAGTGATAAGATCTAACGATTGGTATCAGTTGAGCCGGTTAGCCTAATTCTTGAACCCTAAGATCTAAGTGTTCGATTTAGTTTTAATTAGCCTCTGGTAAATAAGTTTAAGATCTAATTAGCCATGGATTTGTCCTTTTTTAAAGTTCTTTAAGCCAAATCAAAGGCTCGGGTTTCGGTTCAGCACATAGGAGGGGAATCGAATCAATTTCAACACTAAGCCCCTGTTTCTTCCCAATTGTGAACCCTAGATGCAGAATTGCCCAAATCCCGTCCCAATCCCCAACCCTAAGATCAGATAAGAAGCATTTCACTTACCTTAAGAACTAAGACGGCGCTGTCGGGCTCCTGTGCGAGCTCGCCGGCGGCCACAAAAGGGAGCCACGCCGCCGCCCTGCGTGTGCGCGCGCGGTCTCCGCCCTATGGGCGCCGACGCATCCGGTACGTCGCTACCGCCATGAGGTTCCTCCTCGCGTGCGCGCGCGGTGTGCAAAGGGTGACACGGCGGTGCCACTCGACGGTGCCACAGTGGCGCCACCATCTCCTTTCGTCGCGCGCTTGGGCCATCGTCATGCTCTTCACTGGTGGTTGCTGCCATAAGTGAGAAAGGCGGGGGAGAAGAAACAAATACCTAGGGTTTTGGGGCAAGATTAAAGGCCAGCCGTCGAATTCATCTGGACGGCCGAGATCATCTCGTGCCTAAGCAGGCCAGCGGGGGGAGAAGTCAGCCTGATAGCCTTCACCGGCCCAGGCCTAGGTTGGCCGGTTGCTGGCCTGCACGGCTGCATGCTGTGCTAAGATGAGCTAAATGCTAAGTTGGACCAAAATAAATTTTCTTTTTATAGTGTTTTTCAATATGTTTCTCTATTATTTAATTAATGCACTGTTTAGTACTAAGACTAACCAAATAAATATTAGTTGATTTCACTGCAAAAATTAAGAAATATTCTCTGGTTAGATTGGAACCAACGGGAAAATCTTAATCTGAGAATTGTTTATTTTTTAAGTATGTCAGTGGTTAAATTATAAAGCTAATAATAAGTTTAATATTTTAAGTTCTTTTTAAGCACTTTTCATAAGTATATATATATAAATATATTATCTCCTAAGTATAATATATTATTCCCACCATAAGCTTAAGTTCTTTTCTTTGATTGAGTTGGAACCAACAGAAAAATTTAGTTGGAGAAATTGAAGTTCATATTAAATGTGGGCATAATTAAACTAAATTTAAATAATGGGCTATGTTAAGTTACGAAAGAAAATGCATAAGTATGATTGTTTACCTAATTATAAGTGATATTTATTTTTTCTAAGTGACCAATTGTGGCCTTCATGATTAAAATGTCTATAATTAAGTTTCGGGCTTTATTTAAGTGGCTTTCATAGTTGTATTCTAACCAAAGTTGTTTATGACTATTGATTGTTATGATTTTATTGCCCACTAATAAGTTATTTATAGTGTCCGTCATTTTCATAAGACCCATTCTTGGGTATATATAAAGCTTTTGGACATTCTTAAGGAAGGCTATAAGAAATATTTAAGAGCCTTTTAAGATTAATCTAAGACTAAAGTTACTAGCCCCATTATTAAATTAAGCTATTTCTCTTTTACGCTTTCGCAATTAAGTATATGTTGACCATATGGTAAATTTATTCTCTGATAAGTCAATACTTGCTAGAGACTTGATAAGTTTTATATGATTGGTTTTGTGTCTTGTGGTTGTATTCTGACCAATGTTGTTCATAGCCACGTGTCATTTAATTAATCTTAAGTTGCAGTCTCAAGCATTTACCTTTATGGTCACTAAGTTGCTCTTCTTTAATCAAAATGGAACCAACGGGAACTTTTGGTTAGAGAGAAGTTGTCTCTAATTAAGATGGAACCGACGAGAAATTATAATTGGAGACATAATATTCTCTCTTAAAATAAGATTTGGCACACAGATACAGTTGACACCAGGGGTGGCACACAGAATTAACCGCAAGCGCATGGCTGTCAGAGTAGCTTTCACCTAGGAGTATTCCAAGGTTATCGAATCCACGGGTAACGAGAAGTGATAGGAGTCAAGAACTAAAGGTTTCTATGGGTTGTGGAGATGAAAAGAGATGGATTTCCTATGGGGATGTCTGGAACTATACTAGAACAAAGAATGGTATATCAAAGTTGTTTACTTTGGGGCACAACTGAAAGGTCCTAAATGGCTAGAGGGGGGGTGAATAGCCTAATAATAAAAATTCTACAAAGATACTAGAGCAACTTTGTTAGACAATTAAATGGCGTAAAAGCGTTTTGCTCTAGCTCTACTAAAAAGGCAAGCCACCTACCACAATTATAGTAAGCTATGATCTCTAATCCACACAAGAAGCTAAGTTGCTACTACTAACACTAGTGACCTAGCAAGAAAACTAATTGCAACTAATTACTCCTTGTTACACAACTAGTGAGACAAGCTACACTACACAAGTAAGCTATGAAAGTAATGCTTGAGAGGAGTAGAGTGTTACACCGAGCCGGCAAGAGATCAATCAATATGAATACCAATAGAATGCCGGGAGACAATTGACACAAGATTTTTCTCCCGAGGTTCACTTGCTTGCCGGTAAGCTAATCCCCATTGTGACGGCCGGTTCACTTGGTGGCTCACGCGCTAATAGGCATACACAAGCCTAGCCCTACACAAGGGCGCCGTAAGAACCAACACAAATGAGGGCACTCAATGCCATGAGCAATTTATTAGAGTGGCTTTTGGCGCTTCACCAGGGAATAAGCCTAAGAACCCCTCACAATCACAATCGGTGTGGCCACGAACAATCTCCAACTCGTGCCAACACTCCTTTGCTGCTCCAAGCCATCTAGGTTGTGGCAACCACCAAGAGTAACAAGAAAACTGCAGCAAATCGATCCTCAAGTGCCACTAGATGCAATCACTCAGGAGATGAGTGAGAGGAGAATGACAAGGCTCACAAGGTTGTATCAGCTATGAAACGTGCCAAGAGAGTGAGCCAAGCCCGGCCATGGGGCTTAAAAAGAAGCCCCAAGCTTCAACTAGCCATTATACCCTCGAAGGGGTACCAGGCCCATGCTCCGGACCTGCCCTCGAGGCGTCCGGACCATCATTCTAGGGTCCGGACCCTCTTCGCTTTGAACGTTACGACGACACGTGTGCTCAAAGCTGTTGGAGAGCTCCGGACTCACTATCTAGACTCTACTATGCAGCAATTTAGGACCAAGCAGCCATGGTTCGGTTCATTGCCATCGCCAATCGCCAGTTGCCATGCATCTCGCGCCTTTGAATTCGACCGTTGCCACGTAATCGCCTGACTCGCGCGCGTCCAGACTCCTGCCTCTAGACTATGAACAACGATTGTCCAGACCAAGCACTCCAGGAGTTCGGACACTTCCAGTAAGGTTCCTGAGTGCTCAAAAACATCCAGACTCAGTCCATAGTCGTCGTCCGGACTATCGTCCATGGTCCAGACCTCCCCACATCTCTTTGCTGCTCGCCACATGGCCGGGGAGAGTCACCAACCAGACCAAGGACCAATGGTCTGGTTGCCCTACACGCCTAGAGTCCAGAGCTAGCCCAAGCACAGTGCTTGGCTAGGGTAAGGTTCTAGACCCATCAATGATGGTTCAGACCACCCACACCCTAGGGTTCGAAGCTCCTTTTCATCTCTAAACAACTCCAAACTTCAACCCTTGTTTCCATGTGCTAACACCAAAGTGTTCCACCACTTGTGCACGTGTGTTAGCATTTTTTAAGGGTCAAGTTAGCACACACTAGGTCCTAATGCATATGCATGAACAATGCCACCTACTGGCACTTGATAACCATTTTAACCATGATTTTCCCTTCTCTATAGTACGACTATCTATCCTAAACCTGATCACACTCTATGTAGTGTCTTGATCGGCAAAACAAAATGGCCCTATCAAGTATACCTTTGCTTTGAGCCCATTTTGTTTTTCTCTTTCTTCTTTTCCAAGTTGGAGCACTTAATCACCATCAACTAGGCCATCTCCTTCACTTGAGTGCCATGTAGCTCCACCACTTGGAGTGTACCAACCTATCTCATATCACTTAGAGCAATGATTAGTTCACTAAGGTTTCATCAATTATCCAAAACCAAACTAGGGCTTTCAATCTCTCCTTTTTGGTAATTGATGACAACCTTCACAAAGATATATTCAATAAAGATTTGAATTTGAGTTGCTTGCCCAAGCAATTTGAACATGAATAAAGATCGGACAAACACCACAAATTCGATTTTGGTAGTATTTAGCTCCCCCCTACATATGTGCTAGTGTGTTTGGTTTAAAGCTTGCACATATGCATGGATTGGAGTTGTGGGAGAGTAATAGCTACAAAATGATGCTAAGGTGTAAAGAATGGACCTTTGAAGCATGATACCAATCGGAGTGAACTTTTAACACCATCCTTAGCACCATGGTTAGCTAGATACATAAAAAATACTAGATACCTCATGAGATCAACATTAGAAGCAAGGCTCTAGTACCACTTATTTAAACAACATATCTAGCTATCACCTATGCATGCTAGTATTTCATTTCATCAATCAAGTTCTATAACTAGCATACACCACACAAGCATGTATATTTAAATTTAAAACTTATGCAATGCAAGCAATCATATGTAAATGCACATTCAAATGCAACAAACAAGTTCATGAGCTTGTTCCCCCTACTTGTGTGCTTCAAAATTTTAATTGATCCCTTCTATTCTCATTTCTTTGTTTTCTCCCCTTATCTC